CAAACCTTTTGGTTAGGAAATGCGCCACTGCAGACATATTTTTATATAAGCGTTTGTTGTTTTTTTTAAATGAACAAAGCGACAGCATTACAGTGGACTAAATCGTCAGCCAACAATTCCTCCCTAGTTTGTCAAGGAGATACTCTATCAACGAGTTTAGCAACCGAAGACTTAACGCCATGGAAAATGTGCAGCTATCGGCTTTTAGAGGATTTCCACATCTGATGCTTCTGTCCGAATGTTCAAGGATTTCTCTCCTAATCTTGGAGCTACACATATGTCAATAATACACTCCCCAAATTAGCTATGAGCTATTTTGAAGCAACTTTCAATCTTCCATAGAAGGCATTACCAAAGCCACTTACAGCTGTGTTTCTTTCCAGTCGAACCAAATGAAAAGTGGCAGAACTGTAATCATATGATGTTTTTATTTTCTTGCATAACAAGGAAGTGATCCAATTTAGCTGAAACACTTCTGCGAGAGCCTGCAACGGGTTAAAAAATAAAAACCAAGGAGGCATTTACAATGCCATGCGAAGTTCTCTGTTAAAACGAAGTCAGATCTGGAGTCGGTTCAAAGTCCATGTTGAAATTCCCACATTTGTTCATTAATAGGCAATTTTATCAGCAGGCAGCCAAGCCTGGTTTTCCCAAGGCTTTCAGCATTTAATAATCTGAAAGTAATCAGGTAATCCTTAAATCAGAAGGAGTCTAGCAGCACGTTTTCAGACTAATAAATGCTCTCCTTTCGTGAACCCTTTCTTTCCTCCTTACCCTAACAAGTCCTACATCTATTTAACCACTCTAATAAAGTAAGCTGCACTTCACAAAAGCGCATGTCTTTTAATAACATTTGTTAATCTAAAAAGGTGTTACCAGACTCCTCCTGATTTTGGGCTACCATAAACTAACACACTTCTCTTCCTACAAGGTAATCCTTCTTAAACTAGTAAGGAGATCACGGATGGGGATGCTTTAAAAGAATCTATTTCAATACAGGACACTACCTATTTCATCTGGTTTGACATTTCTATTAACTGTGTGCATCTAAATACAGAAAATAGAAGTTTAAAACAGGAAGGCAAATTGTTTTATATTGGCTGTACTGATAGCAGCATTTGTGATCTATTACACTGTAGTTACCAGGCCCGCTAAAAAAGTGCCATTAAAGTGTATTCAATATTGGCACCGATGCAACAATATTTGTTATATCGAGGCAATTTCCAAGTTTGCAAACCAAGCCACAAAGTTATCCACACATGTCTACATTATTTGTCGTCTCCAGTCTCTTTAGATTAAAATCCCCACTGAGTTACAAAGGTCACTGACTAATCGTCATTTGTCAGGTCTAATCTCTCTCACAGAAACGCTGTGTCAATAACACGAGGAAGGTGTAGAAATTCATATATACCCTTTCAAACTACAGAGGCAGCCACAATTTTATTTTAAAAAGCCACAACAAACAACAGAATAAAACAAACAAAAAGAAATGTCATATGCCTGGTTGTTTGAGATGGTACTGGCAGAAATCTGTAGTCTTTGTCTACCATTAGAGATTTGGGAATGGAATCTGATGACAATTCTGGATAAAGAGTTCAGGATTCCAGCACAGATCCTGCCACTTGCACTAATGTCTTGTCTTCCCATCACGGACAGAGCTGACCCCTGAAAAATTGCTGTTCTTCCTATTTTTGAACAGGTCTACAAAATGGCTAGTTCACAATGATTACAAAAACGAACACCAGGATTTTCTTGTTGGACTAAGCTTTGTCTACCCATCAGAGCATTTTCTCTGCCAGAAAGGAGGATGGTGGGAGGGAGGAAAACAAAGAAGAAAAGCTTTATTTTTTTTTACCACCTCGGTACTGACCCAACATGCCTTGATTGAATGGACCAACCACTTAAGGATTTGGCGTTGACAAAGGTCTAAACCTCAAAAGAAAATATTGTAAATTTTGTGGGGGAGAGGATTTAATCACATTAAGTGGGGAAGGCATAGGGTATGCAATCTCTAGAAGTTACTACTCCTTACTCCAGGATCCGGTCCTTCTACAGCTTGCTCGGAGAGTGAACAGTTAGTTATTTTAGGAGACCACTTTAAATGGGAGAAGTATTTAGGAAACTGTGGGGAGACCTGCTTTGGGTCCAGTCGACTCACCAGCTGATATTCACTTCGCCGGCTAAAAGCTTCCTTGATCCCAGAATCCTTCCACAAGCCGGTCAGGGCTGGTACGTACAACTGGAACACCGAGGGCTCAACGAACATCCCGGCTTTATTTTCAAAGGCCATTAGAAACATCCCATGTTTCTCATTTTCCGCATACTGCCAAGGAATGCCGAGTTTGTCCCGTGCGTCAACTAGAACCCTGCAGCCCTAAAGAAACAGAGAAACGCACTTCAATGGTCGAACAGAATGGTTAGATTCAAAGGTAGGCCAGTTATTGTTATTGGACTGTGCCAAAATATTCGACAAAGCCAGGATTTATGGGCCGGCCAATAAATTTAAATAAATAAATAAACGGCAACCCTTTTACTTTATGCTAAGATCGTAAGCAAGGCTTATGGACATCTAGACTGCAGGAAGATTCAGGGATACGCATGTATAATGCTCTATCTTTCCAATCTTTAATGAAGTCCTAGTTTATCCTACAATATTTTTCATCAGTTGGTATGTCCAAACTTAGTATATTAAAATTTATTTTTGAAATCCCCACTCAGGTTACAAGAAGACAAGATAAGCTGTAATGGTTTGCTCAGGGACAGGAGACAGGCCTATACAGTACTATTTCTTTAATCTGAACTTTCAGCCATCTTTCACAAGCAATATTATTCCCTATACAGTACTATAATAATAATTATGTAATTATTCTTTACAGCATTTTTGGAAAAGAAGGCACGTCTATTGAAAACACCAAGCAAGCATCACTCTATTTTCGCATTTTATAACAGTATGATATTCTTAGGATTTTTTATCACCACTTCCCAGCTATCACCATACAATCAGGGAGTATATTCAGGTACTGTCATAATTAGGAGAAGGAAAACCAAGGTTTCAATACAACCTTTAACAGGAAAAGGACACTTTTCCATATATTTAGTTTACGTTAGTTCCCTGGATCCTTATTTGAAAACAGATTTCACTGAACTAAGTCAAGCTCATTTCCAGATAAATATACATACAATTAGGTACATTAAGTGTCCAAAAACTCTATAAAAAGAACAGAAGGGGTTTACAGTATAAAAGGTTCTTCATCTAATGGACAATTAAAACTTAGGAGACTTGGATGGTAGAATAATATGAACAATCCCTAATGAATAAAGAAGGTTGATTTAAATAATCATTTTCTTGGTAATTTAAATTTAAGACATCCCATCCACTTACATTTAAGTTATGGTTTTACTTGCATAGGCCTTTAAATCTCTTTCCCTGACACTCTTGCTAAACACACACACATAAAAATGTAAGCGGTTTTCTGAGTCATAATCAAGAGAAAGCATGTATTTTTGGAAGTACCAAAAAAAGCAACATTTTTTTTCATATTAATAGATATTTTATGGCAGGAATAGGAACCATTAGAAAATCATTAAGGGCATAATACAAAATTCCGCTTTCTTTACATACATTTTCAATTCCTCATAAAAAAAATACAGCACAGTAATATTATGTTTATTTTAAAAATGAGGGAAATCAAAGGTTTTGCTAAGATGGCCTAACTGTTACTGCACAGCAGATTTTACTTGGGGGCTGAATACTGGGGAAATATTGATGCGTGGCGTGAGGAGATACAAGTAAAACTAAATTTTAAGAGCAATTACAGAATAGATACTCAGTTTCATGTGTCCTTAAATTAATCCACTTGTCAAAACCCTTTCAATCTACCAGTTATCCTATTTTTAGCCATCAAGCGAAAATATTCTATTTTATTTCAAAGAACTTTCACACTCTTTCCTCACCTATTGCTTTCCAGAGCGGATGGACTACAATTCCCCTGATTTTCCCCATCTATGCTCAATCTTTAAAACGCTAATAGAAATACATGCACTTCATTTGGCAAGCTTTCCCCCGCTCTACATTCCAAGATATTTTAGACAACTTTTAGGGCAAAATTCCGTCCTTATTATTAAGCAGGGGAGGTGGCTTTCTTAAAGACAAAATTCCCATTTGTTGTGGGTATTACCACCAGCACAGCAATACAGTACGACTGCGGTGAAGACGACAAGGATCAAGTTTGCCACACCTGTGGCAAACTAGAAAGCGTATTGTTAGACAAACTTCTGTAGGAAGAAACTGAAGAAGGCAATTCTTAATTTAATTTTAATTCTCTTAATTTAAAGTTGTTCTAATATGAGCTTTTATAGAACAACTTTTAAGGTTCCAGAAGAAGCCCAGCAAAATCTTCCACAGGACAAACAAATATTCTTCCTCCTCCTTAGGAAAAACAGTGGCTTATGCCAATAACCTAGAATCGGTTTGCAAGATGACATCTGGATTCCTAGTGTTTAGAACAGTGTTTCTCAACCTTGGCCGTTTGAAGATGGACGGACTTCAACTCCCAGAATTCCCCAGCCAGCATGGCTGGCTGGGGAATTCTGGGAGTTGAAGTCCGTCCATCTTCAAATGGCCAAGGTTGAGAAACACTGGTTTAGAGCAAGTTTCTACCCCTCAGGCTGGAAAGCCATATCTGAAAACAAGTCTGTGCAACTAGCAGGGTGTGTATATCCCACTCAGCTCCCTTTTTATTGCACTATGCATATTAAGAAATAACACTGGCACACAGCGAATTATACATCCTCTGAACTCTCAAGATAGGGTGGTGGGAAGGAACACAGCAACACCCTCAAACAGCCTACTTTCCTCCTGGAACTTTAATAAAAACACGGCCGTGTCCATCCACCATGATAACCCATGGGTCATTTACCCACGGTTTACTGAATCAACCCAAGGGGTGTTGAAATCAAATTTTAGCCAGCATGTTACACAAATCCAGGCCATACGTATTTTCAGTATCTTGTACTAAAAAAAGGCAGTCTGTTTTGGTTAGGCACCGATCACTATTCCTCGGTATCCATGCGGGTATTTTCCATACTGCTTTTGGTTCCGTGGCTCTTCCTCTGGTGCCTTGCAGAACTGCGCGAGGATTGTTACTCGGGTGCCTATGAACCATTTACACCAACTTTGGAGTAAAAGCAGCATCAGACTTGATCGCTGACCTTCTGGATGCCCTCTCCAGCTATGCCACTTTTCTAGCACCAATTCATACCAAAACAAGACCCGTTTCTACAAGCACAACGCTGCTTTCCCTGCCTCTCAATCTCTTCCCCATGCAAAGTTGTTCTCTGTGGCTTAAAAAAAAATGCATTTCAGACGCATTTCCTAGCTAATATGGATCATGGGATAAAAGTTTCATTCGCAGCACTAAATTGGCTGTGGAGTATATGGTTAAAGTAATAGGAGGAGGAGGCAAACAGATAACCCAAATTCTAAAAGGCAAAGGTGTGCCTCAGGCCTGGCCCAACATCATCACATTTTTTCGAATCCATGCTGCTCTTTGACTGAAGGGCTGTAGTGTGTTTTTGTAGCACGTTTTCCAAGGTTTCTCGTTTACTAGACTTTGCTAATCAAAATAGGCAAACAACCCGAGAAAAGTGGAGACGTTTTCAATGATATTCAGTCTACTCATACAGCCCGTTAAAAACGGTTTGGATTATATTTAGAATTTTCTGATCCGTGGCTGAAGAGTCCTTTCGCAGGTACAAGTGACTGGGTGGCCTTCGGAGTATCGGACTACGGTTCCCTTCGGCCCCAACCAGCTTTGCAAACAGCTGTTTATCTAGAGTATTTTGCCTGCGGAGGAAGGACTTCTCCAAGCCCACGTCCAGGCCTGTCTTCCAGAACTGAGAAGACAAAACCGACTGGGTCCAGATGCCAATATTCTTAGAAAAGGGCTGCTGAATTTATTTATTTATTTATCAGTAGATTTTTACCCCACCTTTATTTTGTGCTATACAAGGTGGTGCACGTGAGGCTCCCACTCATTTTCCCACAACAACCCGCTGGGCTGGGCTGGGCTGGGCTGAGACTATGGGCTTGGCCCAAGTCACCCAACAGGTCTCTACGCCTAAGGGAAGACTGGAACTCGTGCTCTCTTGGTTTCTAGTCCAGCCGCTTATCCACTACACCAAACTGGCTCTCAAGAGAGTGTATATGGGGGGAAATCCCTTTTTCTGGAGGGGGGAGGGCCCTCTCCAATCCTGGATGCCTCTGCTTCCCGCATGGACAGGGGACCACCAGGAAACCTTACAGGAGATTCTGGGAAGTTGGGAAAAACACCCCAGGAAGAAGGCAGTGGCAGACAACAACAATTTTCCCCACAACAACAACAATCCTGTGAGGCAGGCTGGGCCGAGAGAGACGGGCGGGCCCCGAATCCCCTCGCTTGCTCCCTCACCCCAGGAGGACTAAACTCTCGCTCTCCTGGTTCTAGTCCAGCCGCTTACCCCTCCCACCGGCCTGCCTCCCAAGGGGGTGCATGTCAGGGGAAAATCCCTCTTTCTAAAAGGGGGGCACCCTATCTAGCCAACCTTGGAGGTCTCTACTTAATGGGGGACAGGGGACCACCAGGAAATCTTGCGGGGGGAGTTGGAAAGAAGATCCCTAGAAGAAGGCGGAGGCAGAGCACCCTCCTGCGAGGCGGGCCGGGCCGGGCCGAGGGAGAGGGGCGGCCCCCAATCCCCCCACCTTCCCGGCTTCCGCGCCGCAGGCAGGACAGGCCCCGAAGGGGAGGGG